TTGGTGATTAAAATGACTATCGCAGCATGGTTTATTCTGTCAACAGATAAGGTTGTAGTTGGTAGGAAGTTGTTGACTAGAAATAAGGTAGTAAGCTTTTGTAATATATATATATAATGGCAGCAGGTCATGGTGCTTAATTTACTGATGTTTTCCGCAAAAAAAAATTGTCTTTCTCTTCCTCTTTGTTCTACAAAACCATCAGTGGTATCGGAGCTAAAAGATCTTAGAGGAAAAGGAAAGGTTGTGAGACAGAAAAAGAGAGAAAACAAGTGAGGAACTTCTACCAAAACCTTCACCATATCAGCTGGAAAAAATCAGACCTGAGAGGGATGGCTTCAAGCGGTTTTTCAACCCCATTACCTTCTGTGTTTACAAGTGAAAATTATGACTTTTGGGCAGCAAAAATGAAAGCTTACCTGAAAGCATACGACCTGTGGGAAATAACAGAGGCAGGAAGTGATCCACCACCTCTTAGAGCAAATCCTACTATTGCTCAATTGAAGCAACATAGTAAGGAAGTTGCAAAAAAGTTCAAGGCTTTGTCTTGCATCCAATCTGCCTTTTCTGATACAATATTCACCAGGATTATGACCTGTGAGACAGCAAAGGATGCCTGGGACAAATTGCAAGAAGAGTTTAGAGGCAATGCAAGAACAAGGCAAATGCAAGTTTTAAATTTAAGAAGGGAGTATGAAACCTTGAAGATGAAAGACTCAGAATCTATCAAAGAATATTCTGATAGGCTGATGAAAGTGGTAAATCAAATAAGGCTATTGGGAGATGACTTACCTGACAGGAGAGTTGTGGAGAAGGTGCTGATGAGTTTTCCAAACAAATTTGAGGCAAAAATCTCTTCTCTTGAAGACTCTAGAGACCTGTCTTCTATAACCTTGTTTGAGTTGGTTAATGCCTTACAAGCTACTGAGCAAAGGAGGCTAATGAGAGAAGAAGAACAAGTAGAACGGGCCTTGTTTGTTAAAGAAAAACATAAAACTCAAACAAGTTTTGGTGTAAGAAAGAACCAAGATGAAAAGAAGAAGGTGAAAAATAATAAGATTGCTGGTAAAAGTGGAGTTTATCCTCCATGTGTTCATTGCAAAAAATCAGGACACTCTCCAAAATGGTGTTGGTATCGACCAGATGTTCAATGCCGAAGTTGTAAGCAATTTGGACATGTTCAAAAAGTGTGTAAAAGTTTGAAGGAGAAGCAAACAAAGCCTCAAGCACAGAT